ATGTCAACAATGATGTCATACAGAGCTCCAGGCCCCTCCCCCAAAGCAATAGGAAACATGCAGTACTATCAAGCGAGGAAGTACACCAGAGCACCCAATTACCTGGTAATTGGCTATTAGCTTTATGTTAGGAAAGAAGCTTGTTTTAGAACTACAGAAATCTTTTTGAGTGACCTGCTCAAACATTAATGACGCTCAAGAATAAAGAACATAAAGATCACTGGTCGGGTGTATTCTCCCTACATTTAAAACATCTAAATATATCAGATTAATTGTTTTAAAGCACAAGCACTAAAAAAAATACTAGTGTAATATATCATCGTTCCTTACAGCATGGAGCAAAAGAAAACTCTCACGTGGTAATAGCTTTCATACGAAGAAGGCCTAAATATTTCACTAGGGCTTTCAAGAAGCATCTTTGAGAGCATGTGGCTGTTGCATGTGTTCACCAACATAAGACTGCGCCCTTTCACTGACTTGTCTACATAAATAGTAAACTGAAAGAAAGTTACATAAAAAAGGATTTATCACCACATGATTTTTTTATATATAGTTTACAATGCATTAAAGTTAATGGCGCAATTGTCTCCATAGTCAGAATGACAATATTTTTTTTTTGCCATTCGAAGTAACAGGTTTGGGCTTAGGTGCAAAAAAGCTCAGGCATCCATACAAAATAATCAATTCTAATATATAAATACAAACAATTTACTTGTAAGAATCAACCTCCAAAATATAAATTGTTAGAGTCTGTATTGATGTTAGCCATACAACATAACTAATCAAATAAATTAGGTGAGTTGTAAACACGTATTGACAAAGTAATAACATCTCTACATGGGAATACCCTAATAACATCCCACTTGACACATTTTTATGCATTTTCAAAATCAAAGTTTAGTGTAACTATTTAATAATGAAATCATACCACCAAACAAATTGCCTTTCGAATTATTGTAGTCGTACTAATTCACACAGCTACACACATTACAATAATTTGGGCAAAGGGAAATGACGGGATCTAACTACAGACACCACTTATTGAGGGGCAGAGTCAGTGATTCAGTCAGTGGAATAGAGGAAAGAAGCTTATTCTACAGGCAACAATGAAACAATTTAAGAACCAGATCACGATGAAGAGAGCGTTAGCGTTTGTGTGCTCACGTGGAGAGCTGTAGAAGTTCAACACAACTTCTGCTGTCGTGATTCTGAAAATAGCCACTGAGCTTTAGGCTGTTCCTACAAACGCTGGATTTGGAAACAAGCATGAATCATTTAGTTAGAGAAACCTAGTCACGTCATTTGCGTCAAGTATACATCTACCCAGTGTTGTCCTGCGTAAAATAAGGTTCAAGTTATTTCTTTAGAGCTCAGATTCAAACAGTACTCATACAAATGCCAAATCAAGCTCCTACTGTATCCTCCTGCTTCCCTGCACAATCAGCTTTCCGCACAGCTCATCCGTTCATCTGTCTAACACCTCATTCAGGGGCTCTTACCTTAGTTGTTACAATGCAAAGACAGTCCATGTCGGTTGTCAGCCTATATAACAAACCATGTCACCACTGGAGAACTCCAGAAAAACGATGGGGAAAAAAAGGTAGCAAAGCAAAAAAATGTAAGCTTTGCAGGAAACGGCAGCAGAAGAGGAGGAGAGCACTCACACACACATTCACATACACACACACACACACTGGGGGAGCGGAGCCACAGCGGGCACGTTACTGCATGTGGAACCCGAGTGGGCTTTGGGATGCCTCCTCCTCCACGGCGCTGAAGGCTCGCACAGATCCTAGCGCCATCTCCGCATCAGCAGGCACGCACGCAAACCTACTGTACGCTCTTTAAATGCTCGCGGCTCAGCGTCCCTCCCTCTCATCCTTCAACACTATCCGAGTTTCAGAGCTCCTCTCCTCTGCTTTGCGTCGCCGTGTCTCCGAGCTGAGTGCAGAAGCAGCGCTATGGGATGAGCAAGAGCGGAGGAAGAGAGTGAACGATAGCGTCAGCGCAACGGAGTGAATATGATTCCCATGCTTGCCGTATTAGTCGCCACTGTGGTAGACTGCTGGAACTTAATACAAAGACAACATAATATTCCAGGATTTAACTCCACCTGAAAAGCTGTGTTCACTGACTGAGGCGTCAATGGCAATCAGCGTTGAAACAAGCGTTGTAATATTAAAGGTGCTGTACTTTTTACTCTGACCAAAAGGAGAATTTCTAAACATACAGGATATAGAAAAGTGTTGGTCAGGAATATGGCAACTACCCGCGTATATTATGCCTAAATCACTGACAGTTTAGTTGGACACACAGTTAGAGATTCTGTTAGAGACCACATATTCTTATTTTAGTTTTTTTTTTACCATGCTCAACTCTACCGACCATGTGTAATTGTGTTGATCAAATTGTAATGGAAGTCCCCCTGCTCGCTCCCAGTGGGGGCTGTACAAGGAATTGTGACTGCATTTGGCGTCTCAAACCGCTGTTCGATACCCTACAGAACCTGATACACCTGCGGCCATCGACCAGCCACCCCATTCGGATCTCATTAGACACATGTTTCATTGTTGGTTATTTCAATGTTGGTTGAAAAATGTATTGAATGAAATGTCACAGATAGTAGATTTAGAAAATTTGGCAAGAGACAGATTTGAATTAGGAAAATAAATGTGATAATATCTAAAAAGTCTTCATCATTTCAGTCATTTATTATGTTCTGGGTTTCAGAATGTCCAAAATAAATTAACGCATAGATAAATATCATCAGAATTGTTGGATGAAAGGGAGATGTGTGTTTGGCTGTCATTTTTAGCTACAACCAAACACCTGTTAACACATGCAACCATCTGATCCCATCGCCCTCGACAACACGTTTACAGCAGACACTACAGAAACGATGAGGAAATAATTAGCAGCTTGTTCACAGCCATGCAACAACAGAGCGTTTTGTAAAACCAGAGAAATCTCAAAAGCTGTTGAAACTGTTCGAAGGCTCTAAAGATATATCTAATCTTCAGGGTATTAGATCTGTGTGAATTTAGAATGAATATTTAGAGGGCAAAGTGTTAGTGTTTAGAGGGCAATTGGATGCTTGAGATGGAACACACTAGATTTCTCTTGCCCTCACCCCTCCTCTCTCTTTCACTCTCTTTCTCTCTCTCGTCCAACTTCTACAGTCAATTATCAAATAGAAACAGCATCTATATTTTCCATGTTTAAAAGACTTTTACAATTCATACCTGCTGGCTGGATTCATTCTTCAGTCTATCATAGAATTGGACCTTGATAACAGCTTTCATTTGTGGACAAAGCAGCACCCATACACTCCCAAGCTCGCGTGGCTGCCACTGACAACATGAGTCTAGCATGCAGTCCTACTGTCCACTCAAGGAGGCTAATCTTTTCAGGTACAGAGGCTCAGGCAGCCTGGACTTATTGCATTAGCTAGAAAGAATACTTTAACCGCCTTTGTTTAGCATGCAGTTAGTCCATGTGGTGTACATAGGACAAATTGGGCCTGCTGTGTCTGTCTGTGGCAGTGCTGACAGATATAACAGCTTGTTAGAAGGATTAACCCCACAGGTTATCACATGATCTTTGTAAAACAAAGCTAACCGGCCTGTGACCCAGACACATGAACCTGAGCATCTCTGACAACTACAAATCTAAAAGAAATCAGACTAAACATGGGCAGTTTAGCACCTGAATTGATAAAAATACCCCTTGGGATGCAATGACTCAGAAAGTCTCCTGGAAGGAAAAAGGAGCACGAGAAGGTGGCAAACAACTTTGCTCTGATTTCAGCCACCGTTTCAGGCGTCTGGTAAAAAAAAAAAAAAATCAGTCCATTTGTACTTTTATGTCAGTCGAAAGAGCATTCTACAGTCTGGATCAATTAGAGAAAAAGATGGACTGTCCGAAAGATCTTCTGAACTTCTGAACCACAAAGTCCCAACTGACTGAGGCTCTGGTGCTATTGGCCATTTATTGTTGCACTATAGTCCAAATAATCAATTGTTCAAGTTTAAGTAAGAAATTGTCGAAAATAATGTTGTGGTTTTTAGGTTGAAGTATAATGAGAAGTAGTTACATCATTGCCATTAGACCCCTGTCGTGTCCTCAAAAATACAAAACTTAAAATATTGTATACATTGTGTATGAATATTATACATGGTTGTGAATTTGTGCAATGTGGTTCAATGTAACATTAATAGCATACTATAGGGCTGGGCGATATGGCATAAAAGGAACATCTCAATTTTAATTCCTGCTTTGGACAATTTTGATTTTAAATCGATTTTCATTAAAGTCACCGAAGACAGACTTTGCCCTTAAAATCTTTTTTCCATCTTTCCGCTCAATATTCAAGTTTGAAAACTATTTTCAATTTGTTTCCCCCAATATGTGTTATAGGTCTTATTTATAAAGTCTTAAATAAGACATTTTTCACAAATTCAATTTTTTCAAAAGCCAATTAATTGCCTAAATTCGATTTATTGCCCAGCCCTAGAACACAACAAAATAAATTGCCTCTCTGAGGATAATTTGATTCTGAAACTGAATTGGCATGAGACAAACGGCAAACATAGATGAACGTGTAGACCCAGTGCAGGTCTGAGAAGACTCTGGGAGTCATGTATAGTTCCAATCATGGCAACCCGCTCCAGTACTTCTAGTACTTGTTACTAGAAAGAAACAGCTTATGTCATCCCAGTCCTGACCTCGCAGGATGAAATGGAATTGGCACTGCACTATTTATTCTGGTACTAGACTGTCAAGACAAATGTAGCGCCCTGGCCTTAACATAATCTCATTTGGTTTTGTGAGCTCATTGTTGTAGGGATTATGGAGCCTAGAGTGGCTTCTCAATGAAGGGTCACGGGTCTATGTACAGATGTGGGCAACACTGTGAGGTGGTAAGGATCATGTGGGGACCTTATAGTGATGAATGGATATTTAATGAACGACATGACCAGAGGTACAACTGGGGCACTCACCTCAGCCGTCTTAGCACTGCTCACAGGACGTTCCATTCCACTGGGTTCTGAGCCACTCTGCTCCTTCTGCTGAGAACAAACATTAAAATGTTATATCAGACATGGCAAGTTTCTTTGTATAGCACACTTCATACACAAGGAAATGTGTATGAAATGACGTAGTAATGCATAATTGTATGAATTGTTTCTCATAGAACTACAAGAATAAAGTCATTTTCTTTTCACATTATTGTCATAGTCAAAATAAAGATGACATGTCATCACAACTACCTAAAATGCTTCCTCGTCCAGAGTTCATAGAACCTTTCAATGGCCTAGTCGTAAGCAAAGGACCTGCTGCTGAGACACTATAGCATACTGACATGCACAGTTTACACCAAATAAGAGCATAAGACCCTCTTGAACGTCAGTGAACTCTGTTCAGTTCTATGTACGATGGAGCTCTACTGTGCACTGACTTTATCTCATACTATTTCAAGATTATTCTCATAATATTTTGACTTTAGTCTTATAATTTTACAAGATTAATTTCATTTAGACTTTAAAGTCTTTATATTTTTACTTTAAAGTCTATATATTCTGACTTAATTTGAGGCCTTTAAAAATTTATATTTAAAAAATCTGCATTTAAAAATAGCCCACTTAGATAAGCTATTGGCCAGTCAAAGTCTGGTCATAGAAAACTCATAGCAGTCGACCATTTTGTTCAATTTAAACTAAAGGTTTGAATTAAATTGTATTATTTAATTTAGAATTTTGGCTTTTGTCAATCTTGGAGACTTCCAACACTTTATCACAGCCATGTAGTTATTAATAGTGTGCTACCTGAACACTGACAGAGATGACATTGTGAACTTGTCAGTCAGACAGTTTCTTCGTTAAGTCTTTAATTAGCAGCTTGGATGGTGTAAGCCTAACTGCCAGAAATAAACCACTGGTATCTACTGCTCGCCAACAGTCCACTCATGATCATTGCCATTTAGAATAAAGTAAAAAATTTACTTTTGTATTTTTTGTATAATCTTTGCCTTGGAGAAGAGAAGAAATCACTCTTGGCTCATCATTGATACTAATGTTTATCTAATCCAGTGCCTTTTTATAAGAGGCGCTCCCATCTCTGTGTGGAGTGAGAGATAAATGCCCATAATTAACAATTGTAAACCGCTTTGAGACTCTGATCTGCAGTGAAAAGGCGGTATATAAATAAATAAAGATAAAGATAAAAGATAAAGAGTATATACAGTAATCAAGTAGTTTTATTGTATTACCATTAATGTACGCGCCAAACATTGGTAAAGATGTGCACCTTGGAAATTCAAAGTAAGTGCCATTTAAAAAGTCCTTATTGAGTACACACTGAAGAGTTGTGTCTGTAAATTAAAGATCCATCCATCCATCCATTTTCTACCCTTTAATCCATTTCTGGGTCAGGGGGGTGGCAGTCAGAGATGCCACCCAAGTCTCATAGCACCAGCCCCTCACTGACCCTCTGCAGGTGGTGAGTCCACAGGAGGACGGCTGCTCTCTGACTGTGAGCATAGCCTTGATCTTTCAGTGGGGGCTTTGGGCAAAGTGGGGTTAAGTGTCTTGCCCAAGGACACAACGACAGCAGTCATCAGTGGGAGTCGGTGGAGAAGGTGCAGAGGTGGGAATTGAACCCACAACCTTCTGGGCTTAAGGCCAATGCTCTACCAACTGAGCTACTGTCGCCCCAAATTAAATTAATCTTAAATTAAAGATTGCACTCACTAAAGATTACAACTCATAATGGACAAAACAGACAGTGGATGGACAAAAGGTGCACCATAATTAAATATTGCATTTTTATTTTTTTTTATGACTTTTTGTTTTTTGTTTTTTTACAAATTGTGAGTTTATGAATGATGTGTAAAAAGTATGAGAAAATTAAATAGGATTCTGCTCAATATAGAGTACAGATGAGTCCAATGACTACATCTTAGTCATTGGAGCAGGGTTCATGCCCTCTCGGGGCATGGAGTTTAAGAGTGTAGCACTCAGGAGTTCACGCTGGGGTTTTTATTCTCTGGGAACTAATCCACAGTTCAATCCAAAAAGCCACATTTTTGGGGGGGAGGGGTTACCTATGGGTGAATGTAACAATTACTAACATGTAGTATTCTTCAAACAGTGTGATTGCGTAAAGCAATAGGATTACAAAGAATTACAGGATTACAAGACAAACCCTTTAAAGTTGCAGAATATAAAGACAATGATGATCTTTAGAACATGGAACCTTTTTACCATGTTTTTCACATTGAAAGTTTCTCTCTGCATTGTACACCTTGTAATTCTGGACATTAGAGGAAGGTTTTTCTCTTTTGTTACATATGTGATTCATTGGTTTTATTAGTGAACATGCTCAGTGAATGTGCCAAAAGGAAACTACAATTTTTTTTGTGCTGCAAACTAAGGGCTGTCAAAATTATTGCGTTTTCGCACATTAATTCATTTTTTTCATTAATCGTGTTAAAAAAATTGATTTGTTCTTGATTTGTTCTTTGATCATTTTTTTGCTTTAGTTCCATCTTCTCCTCCGCACTGTTTTGCTGTGTCTGCAGTTACAGCCAGACGAGGTAGAGCCACTTTCTCCTACCATGCTGCTGTTGTTTACATGCGCTGCAGACGCTAGAGGGGGCGTGGCCTAGGAGAACGAAGGTCACGCAAAGTTTCTACTCAGCACTTTTTACCGCCTGAATTTATCAGTAGCTAAAGCTGTATCAATGAGCTCAACTTTTCAGTTAAATTACGGGTTTTAATACAACTTCTAATACAAATTAGAAAAAACACTGTCTACAATAAAAAGACAAAATGTTAATGTTAATGCCATTTTATGTGGATTTATTGTTAGAATAAAGAACACTTTCTCATAACTTGTTGTTGCCGTTTTCTATGTAGGACACTGGACATGTCTGAAGAGATGCTAAAGTTAAACTAAATAATGTTACAGTCTGTTTTCACAAACAGCTCATTTTCTCAGCTTTTTGTCCAAGACTGGTGCTTTTTGTCACACTCCCCTCTCTTCGACTGGAGATCACAAGAGAACGAAACAAGCTAAAAACAAACTTCTTTTTGCTGCTGAAAGTAGACAGTTCAGTCTTTCAGACTCTGGTTTCATATTTTTCATAGTCATAGCTCACAATATTCTGTAAATCTTGAAAATCCGTCAAGTCATCAAAAATGGCCGGCAGTGAATGAGTTACAGTTCATGTTGGTTCTGCCCAAAAGTAAAATGTTGTGAACAAATCAAACAGATTTAATGACAGCCATTGGCTAACATTATACATCTCAGACTTCTTTGAAATGTCCCTCATCCCTGTAACAAACAATATGGTGCTATGTTCGTCTCCCTCACTCTGTAGTGACATGTTTATTACTCTCAATGTAGATCATTGCACTTTATTATAATTGTTGAAACTGCATATATCTTGCGCCTCTACAGTATGTGCTTCCACATACTGTAAAAACAACCGTTTAATAAAAAACACAACAACATGAAAAAAGAAACGGCCGGACCGTCAAGGAGGCAAAAATGCCCAGGCCGTTTTTTGGTCCCAGTCCAGCCCTGGGGCCAACAAGTGCAATGCATCTCTGGGAACTCCTTCAAGACTGTTGAAGACCATTTCAGGTCACTACCTCTTGAAGCTCATCAAGAGAATGCCAAGAGTGTGTGAAGCAGAAATTAAAAGGTGCTACTTTGAAGAACCGAGAATATAAGACATATTTTCAGTTGTTTCATACTTTTTTTTTAGTACGTACATTATTGCACATGAGTTAATAGATAGTTTTGATGCCTTCAGAGTGAATCTAAAATTTTCATAATCATGAAAATAAAAAACTCTTTGAATGAGAAGGTGTGTCCAAACTTTTGGTCTGTGCTGTATATTAATACTAGTTTTGGAATAAGCAAATAATACTATATTTAACTAATGTCGAGGTTTGTTCTTGAATCATGTCTATAGCAAACAACATAGAATCCAAAACCAATATATTTCAACAATGCACAAAATAATAATTGTTGTTAATATAACAATACATTGTTCTCAGTGTCCCCTTTTTCACTTACACACACTCAATCCAACAACTTTAGAGCATACAAAGACCACCTTTGTTCCCACACAGTAAATGTTGTACCAGGATACTGCACCAATGCTGTCACACTGCTGCACACTGACGACATTGAAGGCTTACCATAAAGGAGGACATAATGAACTTCTGTCTGCTACAATGTGATCCTCTAGAGATTGTTTTTACAAACAATATGAACATATAACTATGTAATAAATAAGAAGACTCTTATGCACTTCCATCATTTCCTTGCCCATTTGAGAAACATCATTTTTGGATTTGAGTAACCACTGTGGAAGGTTGTGCACTTTTTTATTCATCCCCGTAGTCCGATGCATTTGACTTATCCTGATGCCAGTAGGGCATCTATCAGGAGCCGCCAGAGAGAACCTACACGTACAGAACATGCAAACCCCTCTCAGAAAAGGCTATCCTGTCAGACATGCAGGAAAAGTCCATTTCTGATTTTGGAAGTCCACTCAGATCCAGAATGCACGATTTTCAACTTGCTCAGTGTGTTCAAAATGTTTAAACGTGACTTTAGTTAAATACCTTTTCGTGGGAATTATGTTTTATGAAGTTTGGGTAAACCTTAGTATGAGATAAACCTTGAAGATGGAGACCAGTTCGTTTATGAGGGATGGCCCTATGGGCCCCAATTACTGCATGGAAAACTCTTTGAAATGCATCTTCCTAAGCAGAAGACTCTGAAGTTTGTCTATGCTGTAACAAACAGCTACCACAGAATATTCACAAATAAAATGTTAGATAACTAAACAAATCCAGTTATAGATAATTTGGGGAAAGTTTTAGAAGAATGACATAAGTCAGGGCAAACAGCATAATTATATAAAGTCTAAAGAAACCTGTATATACAATAATTGATATAGATTACTGAAAGATCGGATAAAGGGGATGGTTGCTGTGGGACAAGGTGCTGCACAAGTTTCCATAAAGAAAATAAGACCATCATCCATTGCAACAATATAAAAGTGCAGTAGTGCTTGGGAGTCTCTGTCTCAGCTGTAAATTTCTCCTTTGTGAGATCAATAAAGTCCATCTTATCTTATCTTAAAAACTCTGCTTCATTTTCAAATCAACAATTAACTGTCTGTTGAAACAGTGTAGTGACGTCCAGTGGAACAGTGTGAGCTCACCTCCAGCAGACAGGCAGCGGGTGTGGGCTCAGAGTCGTGCGCAGACGTGCTCCTCACCCAATGCTCGGCCATGTGGTTGACCTCCTCCAGCTTCTGCTCACGGCTCTTCTGTGTGTTCAGCAGCGTCACCTCATAGAACTCCTGGATATCTGCAACATCAGACCACACAGATTAGTCTACGGTTTATGCAAACTTTAAGTCACATTGATTAATTTACAATGATAAATTAAACATCCATAGCTTTAGGTGTTTGGTCTGACTAGAGATGTAGCTGCAATATACAATATACTGAAACCAATAATTAGAGCTGTAAGTATAACACTTTAATAACAGCGTTAACACTAACCCATTTGATGTATTATGCCTCACAAACACCTCACTGCGCAAAAAAAAATCCGCAAGGATCATGTTTTGGGCTGACAAGCGCGACACATCAGCGTGCTTGTGCATGTTCCAGGCTTCTACGGATACATATCTACTATGTAGATACAAATAAAAAGAATGCCTTCAACTGAGAGCATAATCAACATATCAAGCAAGCATAATCATGCAAGCCTGAACCTGGAATTACAATTACGATCATTTGAATTACAATTACAATCATTACGCACAATACACAACAGTTTTGATATGAAAATTAACAGTGATCCAGAAAATATTTTTTTACAATATCAAGGCTAGCCTGGCCATAGCCATCCGTACACTCTGCTCAATCATCATTTCAATGCATGTAGCGTCTGGGTCTGGTCCCTGTGTTAGCGATTACAATCGGTCGTATTTCGACCGGCTACTCAGAGTTGTAGGTCGTGCCGGTGACGTCAAGAGTTTGGGCCGAACGGGCCGGTTGTAGTTTGGCAGTGGCGAAGAATGCGATAGTAAAGTAATCCGGTCTGGTTCTATCAAGAAATTGAAGCAGGAGAAAGAGGAATATTTAGCAAATGTAATCGCTGGAAAAGATTGTGGCGCTACTCCCCATGGGCTCCATTAGCGGCAAAGGAGATGCTAGGCTAAATGCTAATGCTAACAACTCACTCGGGCGCATTACATGTGTCACGGTAAACTCAGATCCAATCGTTTCAATCTGCAAAAAGAGTTAACCCCTCCAACCTGTTCATGGAGCACAAAGGAGCAAATCCAGACCTTAGTATGAAATGAAATTTGTACTAAGGTGGGGTACAACCAGGCTATATCAAGGCTGGTGAATCTCTGTAATATACAGAAAGGCAATTGCAAAAGGCATTTGAATCATTTGCAAAACCATTAACATATATTTTCATTCTATCTTTCAGAACTGAAACAGTTTAAAAAAATCACAACAGCTTCTACTATTGCAGTGTCACTGTCAGCCTGGTGTCTCTCAAGGGTCTGTATTAGGTCAAAAACTATATATTCCTTATATATCAATGATTTATGTCAAGTATTTTCCATGTTAAAACCAATTTTGTATGATAAAATAGTTTTGCTCTAACCCAGACCTGCAAGAACTAATCAAAGATGTAACTACAGAATTGAACATCATTAAATTATGGTTTAATATAATCAAATTTTCTCTTAATATCGAAACAAATAAAATTATGTATTTTGGAATTAATAATGTTAAAGAAGCTATACCCATTTTTTTTCTAATGAGTTCATAAAAATGCTTATTACTACATACAAGTTGTATTATACTCCGTAATTTAATGTAAAACTTGAGCTCATTGATTCAGCTGTGAATTCAGGCCGTAAAAAGTGCTGAGTAGAGACTTAGCGTGACGCCCGCTCTCCTCCAATCACAGAACGAGGCTGCGTCCTCTAGGCCACGCCTCCTCTAGCCTCTACAGCGCTGCTAAACACAGAAGCATGTTAGCATAAGTGGCTATAACTCCTCTGGCTGTAACTGCAGACACAGCAAAACAGCCCAAACCACACAACAGTGAGGAAGAGAAGAGGGAACTAAAGCCAAAACATGATCAAAGAAGAAACCAAACCCTGAACATAGCTAGCTTACATCGTATCCTCTGGAGAGACTTGTCTATGGGAGAGACCTGCGGGTCGCCTCGGACTATCTACGCTCGGACTATCTACGCTCGGACATTCGGACGTGAAACTAGCGGTAATATTTCAGTTATATATTGTGTTAGCAGTGCGTTGCTTTTGCACCATTTCATCAGTGATTGTTGTACTGCTTACAAGACGTTTTGCTAATGCTAATGTTAGCATATGTATCAGATCGCAAGTAAAACTAGATGGCTCCGTGGGACAAGAGTATAAGGGAAATGAGAAGCCTGTGAGCGCGTTGAGGGCGGTGCTAAACATTCAAACCTTGCAGAAACGGATATACTGTAGCTCCTTTAAAGTGAATATTTCACTTGATGAAACAGGAAAAAGTGAATGAATTTAAAAATTTTGGGAGTCAAATTGGATAGTCCAGTGGTTCTCAAAGTGTGGTACGCGGGGCTCCCTCTAGTGGTACGCGATTAAGATTAGGAACCTCTTTTTCAAGGGAGTCCTGGACAAAAATTACATACAATTACAGATTATAAAAACAGTCACATACAATTTCATAAAATTACATAGAAAACATGTACAGAATAAAAAAGTTTCAACAAGTTTTGTAGTGCTTTATAGAGCAATCAAAAACACTCCTTATGCTTTACTATTCTATAGTTTGAATGTGTCCTTCATGTGGTGCTGAAGTATGAGGGAATAACTACAAAACAAACTTGCAACCCTTAGCGATTCTTCAAAAGAAAGCTATACGTTATATATGCAGTGGGGCGAAAAAGTAGTCAGCCACCAATTATGCAAGTTCTCCCACTTAAAAAGATAAGATTTTTTTGCAAATTATGGTGGAAAATAATTATTTGGTCACTTACAAACAAGCCAAATTTCTGTCTCTCACAGACCTGTAACTCCTTCCCTAAGCTCCGCTGTCCTTCACCCGCTACCTGTGTTACTAGCACTTGTTTGAACTCATTATTGGTATGAAAGACACCTCAAAAAGTCACACTCTAAACTCCACTATGGCCAAGACAAATGAGCGGTCAAATTGTAGACCTGCACCAGGCTGGGAAGACTGAATCGGCAATGGGTAAGCAGCTTGGTGTGAAGAAATCAACTGGGAGCAATTATTAGAAAATGGAAGACATACAAGAACACTGATAATCACCCTCAATGTTCCCCTGCTTAAAGGGGACATATCATGAAAAATCCACTTTTTGTGTCTTAAATGCCTGATGTTGTGTAGTTGGAGCCTCTAGAAGTGCAAAAAAGGTTAAATCAGTCTCTTCATGGGTTGCAGAGAACACTTCATATTCTGTTTAGGTAAGATTTTTCAACCCGTTCTGATTTTGCCATTCTCTATTACGTGTTTAGAATAATTACGTCACAGTATTTGCAGCGAGACTGCTATATAAGGGCATGGGCGTCTAACAAAACACTTCGGCCCAGCCCTCCTCTACTGTGCATCACTTCGAATTTGTAGTCCAAGCTCAAGGATGCCAGAGAACAGGGCTGGACTGGCCATCGGGCGTACCGGGCAATGCCCAAAGGGCCGATGCCCATATTTGGGCCGGTCTGTCTGCCTCATACAAAACACATGTTTATGAGAAGTGTAAATCCGTTGAGAATTGTTCGAGCGGGGCGCGCGTATCCGCGGGGCACCTGCTGTATGTACCCGAACGGGATTCCGCCACCTCAGCGGCCGCATTGTTCCGGGGCATCTGCGGCCGCTTTGTAATGCGGCTGCGAGAGGCTGTGAGCGTCCAGCCGCTCGCAGCCGCTCCACCGTGTTGTGGCTGAGCGCGCAGCCTCAACGTGACCATGTACCCAACCCTATAAACGCGCAGACGACCATGCGTGTCTTTGAGTAATCTGTGCACCCAATAAATACACTGCTGCAGGAAACAGTCCGCGTCTTCCCTCTCCTCTCGAAGCGCGATTAAACGCCCTAAATAAAGCTCTGATACCTACATTTTGCATTGCATTAAAAGTTCATGTTTGAGCCCAAAAGTAATATGTTGTGAACAAATTAAACAGATTTAGAGCCAGCAAATGGCTGACAATATGCATTTCAGTCTTTTTGGACCAATTCTCATCCCTGTAACAAACAATAGTGTTGTCTGTGTCCATCTCCCTCACTCTGAGACATGTTCATTACCCTCTTGTAATGTAGACTATTGCATTTTATTTTATTGTTGAAACTGCAAATATCCTGATCCTCTACAGTATTTGCTTCCACATACTGTATAAACTAGGAGTCGGCAACCTGCGGCTCCGGAGGTGCATGCGTCTTTTTCCTTCTGTAGAAGGAAAAACGTTCTTAACGTTATTAAATGCTGTAAAATTGTGCATAAGTAATATTCAATTTAAACATTTCTGTCAACGTAGTGCGTCTTATCCTGCGACGTAGGCCCGCGCCAGGCGGCCGCTGTTGTAAACAAACCGGCGTGTGAGCTCTGCTTGTTACAAGTCTCTCCATGGCCTCGCTCCAAAATATATTAGTGACATGTTAGTACCATACGAACCAGCCCGGACTCTGAGGAGCACAGGGACTGGACTCCTGCTGGGACTCTGAGGAGCACAGGGACTGGACTACTGCTGGGACTCTGAGGAGCACAGGGACTGGACTCCTGCTGGGACTCTGAGGAGCACAGGGACTGGACTCCTGCTGGGACTCTGAGGAGCACAGGGACTGGACTCCTGCTGGGACTCTGAGGAGCACAGGGACTGGACTCCTGTTAGTGCCCAGAGTCAGAACTAAACATGGGGAGGCTGCTTTTCAGATTCATGCTGCTAAAATCTGGAACAATCTTCCTGAAGATGTGAGACAGGCCTCCTCTCTGACAATGTTTAAAACCAGGTTAAAAACAGTTCTGTTTAGCTGTGCATACAACTGAGGGATTTTATATTTTTATCTTTCTTTTTAATGTTCTGTGATTATTTATGATTTTAATGCTTTCTTATTTTGTTCAGCACTTTGAATTGCCTTGTGTATGAATTGTGCTATATAAATAAACTTGCCTTTCCTTGCCTTGACTGTGCGCATGGATCCCAAAGCTAAAAAGAGAAGAGTCGATAATAAGACTGGACTAAGAATGAAAATTAACATTTGCTTTCAGTCAATGAAGAAGGCCTGCTTCATGTTTGCGATGTAATGAGAAGTTTC